GTCTGTCTCTTTCTTTAGATTTCATAGACACTGGGGCTGGAAGGGACCTTGCAAGATCATTGGGTCCAGCCCCCTGCCCAAAGGGCAGGAAGTCAGCAGGGGTCAAAAGATTCCAGCAAGATAAGGCATCGAAGTGTTTTTTGAAAGTATCCAGAGTAGGTGCTTGCACCACCTCTTGGGGGAGTCTATTCCAGGCCCTGGAGACTCGAACAGTAAAGAAGTTTTTCCTTATGTCCAGCCAAAAAAGGGTTTTCCAGGAGTTTGTGACGATCCAACTTTGTCTTCCCATGGGGTGCCCTGGTGAACAGTTGTTCCCCCAGTTCCTGTTGCACACCCTTATGTACTTATAGGCTGCCATCAAGTCACCCCTGAACCCAGGGGCAATGCATAGGGGGTGTACGTGCACCCCCTGAGCATGGTGTACCCCCTACAAAAAGGCTCTGCTCACCACCTTCCCCCCCCCACTGCTGCCACTGCAGGCGGCATCTGCGGGTAGTCAGTGATTGCTGCAGGCTGCCACCGACACTGCCAGCAGCGTCTGCAGGTCCTCCCCCGCACTGCAGGAGCTCTCACTTACCACTGCTCTGCTCCTGCTGCCTCCATGCCCCCCCAGCCACTGTGGGCACGTGTCATTCATACCTGAGCCTATGCTTTTCCAGGCTGAAGAGTCCCATGTTTCCCAGCCTCTCTTCATAAGGCCTACACTCTTGTCTTGTAAACATTTGCTTGGCTCTCCTCTGGACTCTCTCAAGCTTCTCCACATCCCTTCTGAATTGCAGAGCCCAGAACTGGACACAGCATTTTAGCTGTGGTTTCACCAATGCTGAGTAAAGTGGGAGGATGACTTCCTGGCTCTTGCTTGAGATGCATCAGTAGATGCAAGCCAGAGTTTTGTTTGCTTTGCCAGCTGTGGTGTCGCATTGGTGGCTCATGTTCATCTTGTGGTCTCTCATGACTCCCAAGTCTCTTTGAATCATGGTGCTAGTGAGCGTAGCACTGCCAAGCCTATAAGTGTGGTGTGGGTTTTTTCCCCAGAGGTGGAGCACCTTGCATTTCTCAGTGTTGAATGCCATCAGGTTTTGATCTGTAAGCCTGCTGAAGTCAGCCTGGATTGCCAGGCTGTCCTCTAGAGTGACTGCACTTCCCCATAGTTTGGTGTCAACAAACTTAGCCAGTCTACTTCTGACACCAAAGTCCAGATCTTTTCTAAACGCATTGAAGTGTACAGGTCTGAGAACAGAGCCCTGGGGGGCACCACTGGTCACCATGCACCATGTTGATTTGGTTCCATCAACTATCACTCTCTGGGTCTGTCCATGGAGCCAGTTCCCCAGCCATTGGACCATGAAATTGTTGAGGTCACAATTCCTCAGTTTTTCCATAAAGGGCATCATGGGACACCAGGTCAAAGGCTTTCTTGAAGACCAAAAGAGGAGTGGTCTACCTCCTCTCCTTTGTCCAGGTGATGTGTCACCTGGTCATAGAAGGAAATGAGATTGGTCAGACAAGATCTACCCACAACAAAGCCGTGTTGGCCATCTCTCAGAATGTTACCTTCTATTAGCCTGTTGTTAATGGTTTCTTTGATGATTTTTTCCAAGATCTTTCCAGGGATTGAGGTCAAACTGACTGGCCTGTAGTTCCCTAGATCTTCCTTCCACCCTTTCTTGAAGATGGACACCACATTGGTCCTCTTCCGATCTTCAGGCACCTCACCTGAGCACCACGAGTTCTTGAATTTCATTGCCATTGGACGTTCTATGATGTCAAGCAGTTCCTTTAGCACTCTTGGGTGCATGCTGTCTGGGCCGGCTGGTTTGTGGATGTCCAGCCTTTCAAAATGTTCCCTCACAAGATCAATGCCAATGATGGGGGCATGTTTGCCTTTCCCCTGGTGATCCTGAGTCTTGTCAGACAGGGTGATCCCATTGGGCTGTTGGAAGACTGACACAAAGTAGTCATTAGGGAGATTGGCTTTTTCCTGGGTGTCAGTTATCAGCTGCCCCACTTTGTTTAATAAGGGTTCAATATTACCCTTGTTCTTTTTCAGACTTCCCACATATCTAAAGAAGGATTTTTTTATTGTCTTTGATTTGTGTGGCCAGTGTGAGCTCAGTTTCAGACTTGGCTTTCCTAGTTCGCTCCCTACAGGTGTGGGCCAGTGCTGAGTACTCCTTCTTAGTGGTGTTTCCCATCTTCCATCCCTTATAAGCTTCTTTTTTTTAGGTGCAGAAGGTCCATAATCAGCATTCCCTGTAAGCTGCATGGTGTGCGCCGCTGTGCACATGCCACGCAGCTTAGAGGGAACACTGCCTATGAGTTCCCTATTGAGCCAAGGGTGTCGCCCAGCCCTTTTGCTCCTTTTTCTGTGGGCTGGAATGGACTTTGCTTGTGCTTCAAGAATTGCATCCTTGAGGAGTGACCACTCATCTTGGACTGCACTCCCTGTCAGATATGGTTTCTCAGGGCCTCAACAACTAGCCTCCTAAGCTTGTGAAAGTTGGCTTTCCTAAAGTTGAGGACTTCTGGATTGCTGACTGACTT